TGGTTCTGACCTGGCAGCAATGAAAGTGAGTACTGTCAGGAGGAGGTGGTGGTGGTGGTGGTGGTGGTGGTGGTGGTGGTGGTGTGTACCTTCGAGTTGGAACTGACCCTCCAGCAGTTTTCAGAGGCAGTAAATCACACAGGAGGAGAATGGACATTCACCCTCCCATGGTGCAGCTGGTAGATTCAAACTGTGTACCTTTGAGTTCTTGCACTATTCCTTATCACTAAGATACCAGTGCTGCCTGTCAATAAAGAAAGTTCTTTCCCATGATTTAATAGTAGTATTAGTGAGAAGCAGCAGCATTTCTATTCCACTATCCCCTCTTAACACGACTTCCTTTTCCTAAGGTCATGATGCTTTGCAAATGTCCAAAGTATGTCAGATGAAGCTTCAGAATCCTTGTTTCCAAGAAGCAGCCTGGCTTCACCCTCTCCCGGACGAACTTGTTTGTTCTCCTAGCAGTCCATAGTATATTTAATATTTTGCTCCAGCACCACAGCTCAAAGGCATCAATTCTCCTTCTACAATCCCTAGTAACTGTCCAGCTTTCTGATGCATAGCAAGTAATTGCAAAGACTATGGCCTGGATCAGGTGCACCTTAGTCTCCAGCCTGACATCGTGAGGGACGTCATGCTTGGGAGAGTGGAGGGACAGTGCAGGAAAGGAAGACCCTCAATGAGATGGATTGACTCAGTGGCTGGAGTAATGGGGGTAGGTGTGTCAGAGACAGTAAGATCAGCACAGGATAGGGCAGGGTTTAGGGTTATTGTACATAGGGTCGCTATGAGTTGTGACCACCACAAAATAAGTACTAAGTTACCTGGACTGCTGTGGAAATGCAGTTTTCAGTCTGTCCATAATCTTCTCCCAGTTCACGATGGGTGGGTCACTTCCAAGACCTGCACTGGAAGCCTCTGCCACAGGTGCCGGCACAGTCCAGGCCATGCCAGTCATCTGGAAGCAGAACAGCATTGTCAACAGGAAAAATATGCACCCATCAGCTTCTGATATTAAGATGCCAACATGATATTTCCAAACATTAGAGTAATTTAAACTAGACAAAATGAAGAAGAGTAGTAGTACTGATATATATGCCCCCTTTCTAGAGGTGGTTGTTTTTTATTAAACTAGCATAACAATTCTTGTAACTGAATTGCTGTTGTTGTTGTTGTTAACCAAAAATATGTACAATCAATTCTAATATCTATGCCTGTGATTATCACCTCATTTGGGGAAGAGTTGCCTTTGTCGTGTTTTTAAAGAGGCAGGATTAGTGTAGGATATATCTTTAGTCAACCTCTTTTGGGAAGTAAAAAAAGGGCAGAGATGTGGTAAGATAGATGCCAAGATGCCTGGAGATCGCCAAGGAACCACGATGCAGAAGCTGAAGAGACAAAGACCCTTCTCCAGAGCTCAGAGACAGAAAAGCCTTCTGCTAAAGTTGGAGCTCTGCAATTGGACTTCTAGGTTCCAAAACTAAAAAACTCAACTAGAAAACTAAGACGCTCATCTTAAAAGTAGGACATACTAGCTTCAATAGTTACATACATGTACAGAAATATTGTTCAAGTTGTTAGGAAAGTGATAAACTGATAATGATGTCACTAATAGGATAATGACGGAGTAAATTATAACATCATATGAAGCCTTAAAAATAGAACGGGATATATGAATATGTACCAATGAGAAATATCCATGAATTATGTTAACAAAAAAAAAGAGTTGTAGCCATATGTAGCTAGATGGGCTTTTATAAGGACTTTTATTTATAATTTGTATATTTTTTATTTGTATAGTGTTTTACAAGATGACAATATTTATATTGTCTCTTGAGAAAATTGAAACACTCTCACTATATATGTAAATGAATTTTTTTCTTTACCTTTTGTCATAATTTAATTTGTCCTTCAGTCTATACAATAACCATGCTAAAAAAGTGAATCTCTATTGAAAATACAAATTTACCCTGGATTGTGGCCTGATATATCAGTAAAGCTGCAATTACAAGCGCTTCTATTTATTATAAAATTACTTATTTATCGTGAAACTAAGCCACCATGAAGTCATGATAGATGTAATTATGCAAAAGCTTTATGACAAGTGCCTCACACAGCAGATTTTTCATTCTTTTATCATTCATTTACCATAACCATCATCACCACCATCACCATCATTATCATTGTATCAAGTAAAAGAGAATTCATTCATTCAAGAAGCCCACAGTAGCAATAAAGAACTAGTCAATGTCTATCCTGCCAAGAAGGGCTCTGTACCAGGGGCACTCTAGGTTGGCCAGCTGCAGAGATGACTCCAGGGCATACTGCAGGCATTTGAGGAACAGTGAGTATAGGTCTAAAGTAAGACTCTCTCACAACAGGTCTTCCCAAGAACTGCTGCATCTAAAACAGAAAAGGTAAAAACAACAGCAGCTACACACGTATGTTTATATAGGCAAAGATCTGTACTCACAGAGCAATGTCTTGGGAGAAAACAGTGACGTGAAATCCAAATACAAGGCATATAGCATACTAAAAAGTATGTTATATAACATTAGCTAAACATGAATATTTGGATAAAAAGCAAGCAGTGAAATATACTAGAATGAGAACTTGATTCTACTCCTATTTTCTTTCTCTCTATACTTAGCTGGATAATTATGATTCCTAAATTATCAAACTATAAAGTGAGAAAACAGGGTGAGGTACTCTTTAAGGTTCTCTCTAATACTATAGGAGTATGGAAAGGTGATCCCTAAGAAGCGCCCATATTAGTGAACAATATCGATGACCAGAAATTCCATAAACAAAATTAAGTCATCTCTTCAAGAAGGGATAGTCTAGAAGTTAAGTTTTCACTATGCTTCGCAGGTATAGAGTGCTACTGGTTTAGAAACGTGCGGTTATGTTGGAGCAGTATGTGGAAACGGCAAAAATCTATTTGAGGACCAGAGAACAATTTTTTACCTGGAAGATACGACTGGATTTAATATTGAAAGAGCAAGTCAGAGTCCCATGATGTGTGGAAACAAAAGAAGTTAAAGTTCACCTATTCTATAAAACTGTGCCTAATAACATTTCCTATATTTACTTTATTAGGTTAAAGAATACTCCTAGAAGGATGTAAAAACAGTACAGTGTTATCTAATTTATCCAGGATCCACTGGTCTATAATTATAAACCACAAAAGAAGCCTAAGTGAAAGCTGTCATTGTTGTCAAAGGTAGAAAGGACAGTAAAAGTTAATGGAAAGAAAATCTTAAGTAGAAGTGAACAGAGGAAGTCCAGAGCCTGCAATCACTGCTAATAAAATTTCTGTTGAAATGTTTCAGTCATCAAGGGGTAACATAAAAATGTACCAGTTGGACAATGTCTCTAAAACTCATCTTCTTACTGTAACTTGAGTATGTGAAGATTTTGGGAAATACAGTTGATGAAGATGTAATGACTTAAGATGAAATCTTAATGGGGTAGGGTAGGCCTTAATCCATCATACTGAAATCTTTATACAAAAAAGGAAATAGATGGGCATGTGAAGATGGAAGTAGACCCTGGAGTTAGGGACTTAGGAGAAGATGGAAGACACCTTTACTTCCGAATAATTTATGATTAGTTTATGATGCAAAGATCTGTTGTTATGTGAAGAGTATGCTCAGTTTTCTCAAGCTGAAGCAACTGGTGGAAAAAATTTCAAACCTCAAGTTGCAATGGAAGGACACTAGAGGCAAAATAATGAATGACACAAGAAGCATCTAAACAAAATTGAAGTTGTTATACCACACCATCACTTTAACACAAAGAACTGATAGATACTCAATGATTTCAGAAAGCAGAAGTGGTGTGTATGGTTAAGAACCAATAGTAGTGAAAGAAGATAGCAGAAGTGAAAAACTAGGTTCCAGGAATTGATGGAATATTAATTGAGATGTTTCAACAAACATACACCACACTGGACATGGTTATTATTCCAAGAAATTTGGAAGACAGTTGCCTGGCCCGCCAACAGAATTTGTACCAATTCCAAACAAAGGTGATCTAACAAAACATAAAAAATTATTGAACAATGTCATTGATATCATGTGCAGTGTCTTGCTGAAGGTAATTTAAAAACAGCTGATGCAGTACATTATAGGGAACTGTCAGAAATCCAAATTGGACTCCTAAGAGGATATGAAACAAGGGATATCATTAGTGATATTAGAGGTATCACGTCTGAAAGCAGAGAATACTAGAAGGATGTTTACCTCTGTTTTATTGACTATGGAAGGAGCATATTGTACTAGAAAAGTCCCAGTTAAGGACCTCTCCAAAGTGATGAAGAACAATGATGACAATGAAGACCAAGGTGCACTTGATGCAAACTATGATCTTTTTAATTACTTGTTATGCATCTGAAAGTTAAGACAATTTGGGTTGTAGTATCGGAAGAAATGGAATATTGCACTAGAGCACCAAGACGCCAAAGCAAAGGGAAGAAATCAATAAATGAAGGAACTGAAGAGATTTCAAAGGGCAGCTTGGGAAGACAAAGTACTATAGTGAAATGTGCAAGGACTTGGAGTCAGAAAATCAAAAGGACCGAACTTGCTCAGTATTTTTCTTAAGTTGAAGGAACTAAAGAACAAATTAAAGCTGCAAGTTGCAATACTTAAGGATACTATGGGCAAAATACTGAATGTTCCAGGAAGAATTTAAAGAAGATGGAAGGAGTATACAGAGTGACTGAACCAAAAAGAATTGGCTGACACAGAAGAAATTCAAGAAACAACGTATGATCAAAAGACAATGGAGATAAACGAGGAAGTTCAAGTTGCTCTGAAGAAATTGGCAAAAAAATTAAATAAAAAAAAAATAAAGCCTCGGGAATTGATGGGATACCAATTGACATATTTCAACAAGAGATTTTGCCCTGGACGTGTTCACCAGGTTGTGTCAAGAAATCTGGAAGACAACCACCTAGCCAAACTGACTGAAAGAGATCCACATATGTTCTCATTTAAAAAAAAAGTGATCAATGTGTGGAAATTATTGAACAATATCATCAATAATCAAATGCTGAAGATTATAAAAAAATGACTAGAATAATATATTGACAGAGAACTACCAGAAAAACAAGCTGGGTTTAGAAGAGGTCATGACGCTAGAGACATTATCACCAATGTCAGATGGATCTTGGCTGAGAAGAATGCCTATCTGTGTTTCATTGCCCATGCAAAAGCATTTAACTGTGTGGATCACAAGAAATTGTGGCTAACCTTGAGGAGAATGGGAATCCCAGAACACTTGATTGTGCTCATGCAAAACCTATTCTTGGATCAGGAAGCAATACTCAGTTCAGAGCAAGGAAACACTGCACTGTTCAAAATCAGAAAAGAAGTGTATCAGGGATGTGTCTTGTCTCTTTACCTTTTCAATCTATGTGCAGAAAAAATCATCTGGGAAGCTGGGATTTATGAGGAATAATGCAGCATCAGGATTGGAGGAAGACTCATCAACAACCTAGTTTGCTGAAAATGAGGAGGACCTGAAGTACTTGCAGCAGAGGGTCAAGGACTGCAGTATTCAGTATAGATTGAAACTCAAAGAAGACAATGATTCTCACCACTGGGCCAACTGGCAGCACCATGATAGATGGAGCAGAGACTGAAGTTGTTAACAATTACAGCTTACTTGGCACAAGCAGTCAAGAAATCAAATAATGAATCGCACTGGGAAAATCCACTTTCAGTGACCTCTCCAAAGTACTGAGAAAAATGATGTCAGTCTAGAGACTAGGGTGAACCTGATCCAGGCCATGATCTTCATAATTACTTGCTATGAATCAAAGAGCTGGACAATGACTAAGGATGATAGAAGAAGAATTGATGCCTTTGGGTTGTGGTGCTGGAGAAGAGTGTTGAACATTTTTCATGCACCACCAAGGAAACAAATAGGTCTGCCTTGAAAAGGGTGAAAACATGTTTCTCCTTGGACGTTAGGATTTTGAAGTTTCATCGCCCATACTATTGGGCACATGGATAGGAGGGATTGATCCTTAAAGAAGAACATTATGCTTGGAAGGGTGGAGAGACAGTGCAGGAGAGGAAGACCCTGGATGAGATGAATTGATACAGTAACTGGGGCAATGGGGGTAGGTGTGTCAGTCAGTGAGACTGGCTCAGGACAGGGGAGGCTTCAGAGCCGTCATACATAAGGTCAGTGTGAGTCACAGGTGACTCGACAGTACATAACAACAACATGGTAGAAAGAGCAATGCCCAATATCCTTTGTGAAAGGGGCAGCCACGGCACTCCTTGGTGGCCAAGATAGTGAATCTCTGCTTCACATACTTTGGACATGTTAGGAGGAAAAGAACATCATGCTTGGAAAGGTGGAAGGTCAGTGAAGGAGGGGAAAACGAGATAGACTGAAACAGTGACTAATGATGGACTGGAGTAATTCAGAGATGGTCAGGAATGGCATAGAATAGGGCAAGGCTCAGATGCATTGTTCATAGGGTCACTGTGAGCCACAGTCAACTAGACTGCACTTAACAAAATGCAAGTGATTTTAACTCTGTGGATAATACATCATGGTTAGCACTGTAAAGAATGGGAATTTCAGGACAGCTGTGCTCAAGCAGAACCCACGTAGAGACCAACAGCAGTTATTCAATTAGAACAATGAGATACTACATGGTTTAAAATTAGAGAAAGTATCTCCTCTCATGTGATATACTGCCTCTGAAAACCCTATAAAGGATCAGCTATGGGTCAGTTTCGATTCAACAGTTCCTAATAACAACAATGTATCATGGTTGTGTCCTTTTACCAAAGCTACTGAATTTTTATGTTTAGTAAATAATCTGAGGAACTGGATTATATGAAGAAGCCATTATTAAGATAGAAGGAAGACTTGTCAGTAACTTCTGATATGCAGATAAAAAGATAACATGAAGCATTTTCAGAAATAGAAGAAAACTTGAAGCACTTACTGATAAAGTTCCTCAGTATGGATTATAGTTTAACAAAAATCCTCAAAACTGGACCAATGAAAAACATGATAAACAGAAAAAATGAAGTTGTCTTGGAACCACAATCAATGTGCATGGAAACAGCATTCAAGAAATAGCATCTTGTTTGTACTGCATCAAGCAAATCTGCTACGAAGGATTTCTTTAAAAGCAAAGATGTCACTCTGAAGGCTAAGGTGGGCCTGGTTTAAGCCATGGTATATTAACTTGCTTCCTATGCATGTGAAAGCTATACAATGACTAAGAAAGTTAAAGAAGAATTAATGGCTCTGAATTTTAGTTTTGATAAAGAAAATAGAATACATTATTGGCTGAAAGAAGAGCAAACAAATTTGTCTTGAAGTTGTGCAGCCAGAATGTTTCTGACAAGTAAGGATGGTGAGATTTTATTTCACATATTTCGAGCATGTCATCAGGAGAGATTACTCCATAGAGAGAGAGATTTCTTGCTTCGTAAAGGTGAGATGAACTGATACAGTAGCCTCAATAAAGAGCTTAAATTACAAGGATTACAAGGCTAGCCCAGGATCTTACAGCGGTCGGTTCTGTTGTACATAAAACAGGGCTATTATGAGTCAACTCAATGGCACCTAACAACAGACTCCAGAACTGTTCTAGCACAGGTTGTTGATGTTGCCAGCCAAGTAATTTGTGGTACTTTTTCATGGCAGCCCTAGGAAACTAACACAGCTTTTGGTACTGAAAAAGGGGTGCTGCTGTACAAGTACCTAGAACTGCACAAGTGCCATGGGTAATTCAAAGAGGCTAAAATAATTCTTGGTACTTTATAGAAAACACCCAAGGAACTCCCTGAGGCTGTCCAAAGCTAAAAAAAGCAAGAAAGGATTCTCTTAGAGAGGTGTCAGAGACCGTAGTCTGCAGACAACTTGATTTCAGATTCTAGATCTCATAACTGTCAGGGAATCACTTTTTGCTGTTTTAAGACACTAAGTGTGTGCTACTCTAACATGGCCGTCCTCGGAAAGTATTAAAGAGGACACCAGGAGTTCTATATATCCACTGGTTATCCCCTACAACGTAGGTGAAGTTGATAGAGTAAATGAGAATTGTCACCTTTTAAGATATTCAACATATAGCCTAGACTCAAGGATACACTTACATTTTCGCTTTACCCGAGTCAACCAATTGAGTTCATAATCTGAAGACTAACATTTATGACATAATTATAACTAGGATCCACAGCATGTAGCCATTCCATTTAGAAACATATTCAACATACTGCATTTTCAGTGTGTTAAAGCCATTATAATTTTAACAATGAAGAAGGCACTTTTTGAAAACTTGTATTTCTTACCAACATCTCAGGATTAGGTGGTGGTGGTGGAAGCTGTATTGGGGGCAAGGTGCTCAAAGCAAAACCTTGCTTCACTTTATTAATCTGCTCATTGTACTGAGTCTGGTGAGAGAGTAAAGGAACAACATTTACAGCAAGAACAGTTTAAAAAAACAACATAAGTACATAGTAATTATAAATGTACTGCTTTGAATAATATATAACATTTCAGCACTGACAACTTTTCTCTTACATAAAACACTTGGATAGATCATTCTCCTCGCAGGTAAAGAGTTGTCTATTAGAAGGGTCTGTTGATAGACAAAATAAAGGTATGGATAATTTACAGAGCATTTAAGAGAATTCTTCCAAAATCCAATCCCACTGCTCTCAGGGGGATTTCTCCCTCATTTGCAGCCCTTCATCATCCTTAGCCTAGAAAAAGGAACCCCTGTTATAAAATGAATATGAATCTTAAAGATTAACAAGCCAGAGTCTATTAGCTAGTAAACAGAAAACCTATCTGTATCAAAAGTTGTTCATTTTAAAACTGGACTGGAAATTTTAGTACTATTTATTCTATATCCACATTTTATCTCAGAACCTAACTCCAGTTCACCCCAGCACCACATCTACTTTTGTTTTATTTGAGTTTCTGTCAAAACTGTTGTCTACTCCTTGAATCCTAATATGTTTTCAAGATTTTCGTCAGTATTGTCACAATTTTTCCTTACTATGACTTATACATGGCAGAGGGGATGAAGATGTGTGGGGAAGGGCAAGGCTTCAATTTGTTCATAGAGTATACAGTCACTATGAACTGTAGTCAACTTTGGACTTAAAGGCATCTAACAACAGCAACAAATTATTTACGATATTTAAAAAAAACCAAATTTTTTTTAAAAAAAAACACCTCTCAAATGAACTAGAATCAAAATTATTTTAAGTAAAAATATAGAAACATTGAAGTTTACAGAATAATACAGTGCTTCTACAAGAAAAATACTGATAGCTCAATAACAAAATGGGTAAAAGACATGAAAAGATTTTTTTTTTTACAAAGGGAGACATCTGACCAACAGACACATGAAAACATGCTAAAAATCAGTGGCAGAGAGATGAAAATCAAAACCACAATGTGATACCATTTCACCCCAGGAGAAGTACCAAACTTTAACAGGATAGCAAGCAATAAATGTTGGAGTTGTTGCTGCTGCTGTTGTTAACTGCCTTCGAGTCGAGCACGACTCATAGAGACCCTATGAACAGAAGGTCTGAAGTCCCTCTGCAACTATTGACATTTATCTAAGTCAGAGTTTTCAGAGGCATGTTGTTTAGGAAGTGAATGCCACTCCTGCTTCCAAATCTGTCATTGTATTTTATAGTTGTTATGTGCTGTTGAGTCACCTGTGATGCATAGTGACCCTATGTACAGCAGCTCTGAACCCTTCCCTGTCTTGAGGCAGTCTCACTAATTCTGACACACCCCACTGCCTCATGGCGCTAACCCATCTCATCTGGGGTCTTCCTCTCCATCGCTGTCCAACCACCATTCTGAGTGTGATGTCCTTCTCCAAGGACTGATCTCTGCTGGCCACGTGCCCAAAGTAAGTGAGGTGGAGCTTCAAAATCCTAGCCTCTCCAAGACAGACTGATTTGCTTTCTTAGCAGTCCATAGTATGTTCAAGACTCTTCTCCAGCACCACAACTCAAAGGCATCTATTCTTCTTCTGTCATCCTTAGACACTGTCCAACTCTCTGAAGTAACAAGTAATTGAGAAGACTATGGCCTGGATTAGGTGCACTTTTGTATCTAAACTGACATCGTTGCTCTTCAGCACTCTGGAAAGGTTCACAATAGCAGATTTTTCCAATGCAATTTGTTTTTTTATTTACTGGCTGTTGGTTTTAAGAGTGTTTAAGAGTGTTGATTATGGATCCAAGCAACCTATAATTGCTAACAACCTCAATCTCTTCTCCATCTATTATGGTGCTGCCAACTGGGCCAGAGTGGAGAATCTTTGTCTTCTTGATCTTCAACCCATATTGGAGACTACAGTGCTTGAACTTTTGCAGCATGTGCTTCAGGTCTTCTTCAGTTTCAGCAAGCAAGGTTGTGTCATCTGCATATCATAACTTGTTAATGAGTCTTCCCCCAATCATGATGCCATAATCCTCCTCATAAAGCCCTGCCTACAGAATAATCTGTTCTGCATAGAGATTGAAAAGATATGGGGACAGGATGCATCCCTGACCCACTACTTTCCTGATTTTGAAGCATGAAGAGTTTCCTTGCTCTGTTCTGAGGACTGCTTCTTGGTTCAAGTATAGGTTTTGTATAAGCATGATCAAGTGTCCTAAGATTCCCTTTCTCCTCAAGGTTTGCCACAATTTATTGTGATCCACACAGTCAAATTCTTTTGCATAGTAAATGAAACACAGATAAGAAATTCTTCTGGTATTCTCTACCAAGATTCATCCGACATTACCAATAATATCCCTGGTGCCACAATCTCTCCTAAAACCAGCCTGTATTTCTGGTAGTTCTCTGTCAATGTACTGTTCAAGTCTTTTCTGGATAATCTTCAGTAGGATTTTGATAGTGTGTGATATTAGTGATATCGCCCGATAATTTCCTTACTCTGTTGGGTCACCTTTTTTTGGAATGGGAATAAATATGGATCTGTTCCAGTTAGTTGGCCAAGTGGTTTTCCTCCAGATTTCTTGGCACAACTTGGTTAGCACATGCAGGGAAGCATCTGTTTGCTGAAACAGGCCAAATGGTATTCCATCAATTCCTGGGGCTTTATTTTTTGCCAAGTCCTTCAGATCAGCCTGCAATTTCTCCATCACCATTGCCTCTTGATCATATATTGTTTCTTAAAATTCTTCTGTGTCAGCTAATTCTTTTTGGTACAATGGTTCTGTATATTCCTTCCATCTTCTTTTAATGCTTCACTTTCTGAACCATTCAGTATTCTCCCATAGCATCCTTAAGCATTGCAACTTGAAGCCTGAATTTATTCTTCAGTTCTTTCAGCTTAAGAAATGCTGAGCAAGTTTGGCCCTTTCGATTTTCTGACTCCAGCTTCTTGCACATTTCATTATAATATTTTGCTTTGTCTTCCCAAGCGGCCTTTTGCAACCTTCTATTCAGCTCTTCAACTTCTTGATTTCTTCCCTTTACTTTGGCTTCTTGGTGCTTTAGTGAAATATTCAGAGTCTCTTCTAACTCCATTTTGGTCTTTTCTTCTTCTTCCTTCTTAGTTATGACTTTCTGCATTCTTCATGAGCGATATTCTTGATATCTTCCCACAGCTTTCCTGGTCTTTGTTCATTAGTGTTCAAGGCCTCAAACCTATTCCTGAGTTGGTTTTTAAATTCATGGGGATAGACACAAGGTCAAATTGCCATTTCTTTGGATATTATTTGACCTTCTTTAGTGTTAATCTGAACTTGCATATGAGCAGGTGATGGTCCATTCCACAATCAGCACCTGGCCTAGTTTTCACTGCTGATACTGAACTTCTCCAACAGCTCCTTCCACAGATGTAATCAATCTGATTCCTATGCCTCCCATCAGGTGAAATCTATGTGTATACCCTGCGTTGAAAGAATGTGAAAATACTGGAATGCTCATGCACTGCTAGTGGGACTGTAAAATGGTACAACCACTCTGGAAGGCAGTTTGGCATTTCCTCAAAAGCTGAACATAGAAATCCCATATGACCAAGCTATTCCGTTGCTAGGAATACACCCCAAGGAAGTTAAAACTGAAACATAAACAAAGATCTATATGAACCCACATTCATAACAGCGTTATTCATAACAGCAAGAAAATGGAAACAGCCCAAATGTCCACCAACAAATGAATGACCTGAGAAACTGTTGCATATTCAAAGCATAGAATACCATGTAGCAAAACAACTATGAGATATCATCTCACCCCAGTAAGAATAGCAAAATTTAACATAACAGCAAGCAACAAATGCTGG